ACAGGGTTTTTAAAACTGTTTTTCCTCCCAGACTTATGGAAATTATTATTTTAATATGTAGCTTTTTATAGTAGACAATCAACGTCTACATTTTATTTAAACAAGATCTGGGGATGCCCTGACGTTTTTTTTTTTTCCATTCCTTTAGTTTTGCATTTGTTTATTGTCAGGACAATTGAATTAAATGATTTTGTTAAGATTATATGTAAAGGTTATACAGTCTGTAAAAAAAAAAACAAAACCATCGGACATTTTGACCAATAAAATTAAGATTTTACCGGTCCCATTCAAAGTTCACCGGGGATCCCCGGTGGACCGGTGCGTTTCTGGAACTCTGAACACTTATGAACAAAACCTTAAAAATTTAATTTGGAATTCTTTAATTTCATATTTTTTAAATAGGCATGGATTAATATATATATACACACATACAAAGGTTTTGTGAAATTGACATGTTTAAATAAATCAACTGTAGTGGTTATTGCTGTTTATTTATTGACTGACTGGCTACTTCTTGGGCAAACTGGAATAAGAGGCCACCTGTCTTAAGTGGCTAGTTTCTGGACTTCCCAAAGCTTAAAACAAGTTTGACTGTACTTTTTCACCTTTTACCAATATAAGAAAGTAGTTCACAGTACATGACAACTATGCTTTAAATAAATTTCGATGAATTTTAATTAGTAACTCGGAAGTTTTGTATGTGATATGAATAAACATTTGCTTCTGTATTCCTTTGTAGAGTTCAGATACTGAAAGTGAACATCAGTGGAACTTTGATGATCTAGGCCGCTCTATTTTTGCAGCAACACCAGCATGCGTCGGACATTCATAAAGTTGAAAGAACAAACCTATGACTTGAACACACAATTTGTGATCTGAATATAGTTCACAAATTTAAGGAAAGCAACTATCAAAGACATCCAGATTGATGGTTAGTACATGTTATAAGTGCCCATAAAATCAAGACAACAATATTATTTTACAATAAATTAAAACATAACCTGTTAAAAAAAAATTGAACATTATCATTTATAAATATATTTTACTGTATTTTTTTTTTGACAGGTATACATGAAGTATGAATGAAAGACTTTTCAGAAGAACAAGCACAATCCCGATTCATTCTTGCCATTGTCTTCTCCAGACGGTGACATTTAGGACCTGACTTACTTTTCAGAAAAAGAAGATGAATCGATTTTTGATAGTTGATCTTAAAAAGATAACATTATCAGGGGTCGTGGATTGAATGACATTTTCTTGCAATCTCCCATGCAGCGTTGTCGTTCGTTCCTCTCTCAGACACCTCTGCAATGGGCTCACGTCAAGATTTTTGACATAACGTATAAAACTTGATATTTGAAGAATTGTTTCAATTCAAATCAATAGTTCTGGATTGATTTAGTAAAACTAAATATCTATCTAAAAATTCAGACATAAACATAGAAATTGAATTGTAATGAATTAAAACAAACGCACTATTTCTCGTGTTTAAAACTGTGTATACGCGAGCCAACGACAGAGGTGAATGTATGAGCCGATGGTAGAGAGTGATTTTCTTGATGGGCAACTAGTTTCAAGTATTTGGATGTCTATTCTCAAGTTACTGCAAACCTTAAATTAACTTCTTGATTATTAGTTAAATGTGAGACCGTTTCTTACTTGAAGTAATCATTTTTTGAATTGAGCTATGTAATCTCTGATTACTTAATATGTTTATGAGTAGTGTTCAGCTTTAAGACAAAAGGATCTTTTATGAACATTGCATTCGTCATGGTGAATTTCTATACATTAAGTAACAGTCATAGTTTTCGTCTTTTTTAATTAGCGATCTCATTTTAAATGTGAGAAATAATTATTAAACTGAAATTTACATTTATGTTGTTTGATTTTTATTTTTTTGAAAATTGTAAATCAATTGCATGTTGTTGTTTTTTTTTTTTCATTTTATTTTAGGGGATAGGAGTGGGGGTGCAGCTGTAAGTTTGAGTATATTTTCCAAAAGGATGTACATCGTTATTTTTGTTTAAATATCAATTTTAAAATGCAAAATGATGAGATATTAGACTACACATTTTTCTTAAAACTTCATTTAAATTAATATATTTTGTTTAAAATAAGTAGCAACACCATGCAAGTTTTAGAGTTATTTGACAACTCACTATATACTTGTTTTTTTTTTTACATTTATGAAGATTGTCTCAAATTTTGAGGGTTTTTTTCTGTGTTCTACATTTATTGACATGTTTCTTATCTGTGTTCATCTTGTCGAGTAAATGAAAAGTTTGATTAAATTTTTTTTAAAAAATCAGGATCATCTCTTTTATTTATTATTATTAATTTACAATGAAATTATGTATGCTTTTGATGCATAATGTACACTTCAAATTCATGCACCAGCAGATTCAAAGGAAAAATTCTCATTAGAAATAAGCAGTTAAGATAAAGAGATTATCCAATTAAAAATAGTTTGAAAAATATTTAAAACAAATTTTCAAGTATGTTATCAAAATAGGAAAAAGTATTATGAATATAGTTTGGTATTTTTAATAGTAAAAAAAAGAGGATATGACGTACTGGCAATTGCATCATCTCACTCAGGGTCTTTCCGTCAGAGTTCGGAAAAACAACCTCGAATGTATTAACATCACCTGATGTTAAAGGTTATGCTTTTCTTGTTTTTTTTTCAAATATAGGATAGAGGAAGTGAGAAGTCCCTTTTATAGTAAGTTTTATGTAATATCATAGCATTGAATAAAATTAAACTCCATATTCCACAGATAAAAGGTCTTCATGCATTTATTTCGAAAATCATGAAAAGGGGGGGTTGTTGCCATGGCGTCTAACTAATACATTCGAGGTCATTTGTCAGCTAGTCAGAAAGGCTCGAGAAGTTGCGATTGAACATAGTGGGGGTTCTTGTTCTTTTATTACCAGTCCCTGGTAGAGTTTTTTGATATTAGAACATACTGGGGTTTTCAAACACTTAAATTCATATGGTTACTGGTATCTGTTACATGAGAATACAGCGGGGTTGTTTGTTTAACACTCTGAGGTTACTAAGATGTCTAATATTTTCTATCAGAACATATTGTGGTTCTTGTCTAACACTTTGTGGGGTTAATGTTATCTTTTATTTATATAAGAACATAATGGGGTTGTTACACATTATGGGGTTAGTGTTGTCTATTATCTTTATAAGAAGACTTAGTGGGGTTGTTGTCCTAACACTTTATGGGGTTAGTGTTGTCTATTATCTTTATGAGAGTACATAGTGGGGTTGTTGTCCTAACACTTTATGGGGTTAGTGTTGTCTATTATCTTTATGAGAGTACATAGTGGGGTTGCTGTCCAAACACTTTATGGGGTTAGTGTTGTCTATTATCTTTATGAGAGTACATAGTGGGGTTGCTGTCCAAACACTTTATGGGGTTAGTGTTGTCTATTATCTTTATGAGAGTACATAGTGGGGTTGCTGTCCAAACACTTTATGGGGTTAGTGTTGTCTAAATTATCTTTATGAGAGTACATAGTGGGGTTGTTGTCCAAACACTTTATGGGGTTAGTGTTGTCTATTATCTTTATGAGTGTACATAGTGGGGTTGCTGTCCAAACACTTTATGGGGTTAGTGTTGTCTATTATCTTTATAAGAACATAGTGGGGTTGCTGTCCAAACACTTTATGGGGTTAGTGTTGTCTATTATCTTTATGCGAGTACATAGTGGGGTGGTTGTCCGAACTCTTTATGGGGTTAGTGTTGTCTATTATCTTTATGATAGTACATAGTGGGGTTGCTGTCCAAACACTTTATGGGGTTAGTGTTGTCTATTATCTTTATGAGAGTACATAGTGGGGTTGCTGTCCAAACACTTTATGGGGTTAGTGTTGTCTATTATCTTTATAAGAATACATAGTGGGGTTGTTGTCCAAACACTTAATGGGGTTAGTGTTGTCTATTATCTTTATAAGAGTACACACTGGGGTTGTTTGTCTTATAATTTATGGGGTTAGTGTTGTCTGTTATTTCTATATAGCATAGTGGGGTTGTTTGTTTAACACTCTCTGGAATATTCTTGTCTATCATCTTTATGTGAAAACATGATGGGTTAATTTACTTTGATGCAACAGTTATCCTCAAATAAAAACATTTTTTTGCATTGTTACTGCTAGGCAGTAGTTGAAAAAAAGTTATTGCAATATCCGTTCTAAGTTCTTCAGATAAACAGTAACAATTTTAAGTACTTATAATTAGTTGCCCGTAAAGTTGACTTGATATTAAATAATTTATTTTTAACCCCACAAATATAGATCTTTAACCCCACAAATATAGACCTTTAACCCCACAATATACCATTTGTTTGAATTCCTAATGATACCTCTCAAGTCACCACTGTACTATTAATAACCCCACAAAGCAAAATTATAACCCCGCACCTTCCGTAAAATGCACAATGTACCTCTCAACTGCATAGCTAGACAGACAGACACACACACAAGGGTAAAACAGTATACCCCCCTCTCCTTCGGAGCGGGGGTATAAAAAGTTCCTATCTTGAAAACTGTAGGGTTGGAGTTAACTGGACATTTGGGGTACAATTGTGGCAGTCACCCACTAATTATCCATTATAAAATTTTCACCAGTTTTACTAGATTTTTTCCTCTTTGTAAGGAAAACCCTGTTCAAATTAATTTTAAAAAGATTTTGTCACAGAAAAAACACAATAAATGTGAATACAAAGTTTAACATCCCAAATTTTACCTTTTCTCTGACAAACTAACAGGCAAAAGAAATAAAGTTATTTCTATGCTTTCGCTGATGTACTGTATGGTTTTTTTTTAAATATATGATTCTTGTTAGTTTCCCAAAGAATGTTGATATTTCAGTCTGCAATACTCTGATTGTTAGTTAATTATGTTAATAATAAGAAAAACAGCAATCTGTGTGTTAATTCATCCTTATTTGTTTTCCGTTGAACAATTCGGTTGTCCTTAAAATACATCATTACTTGCCTATCTCTGCTCTATCCTCCTGTTTTTGATGGGCAATAGGTTTCTCTTCTTTGTATGATTCTCGTTTCTCGATTGTTATCCCTGACCAAAGGAAATTTACGTTGAATTGAAGATAGTGCCTCTCCTAAAACATAATTTTTTTAAAAAGATTTCAAAAGGAAAAGATTTAATACCCTTGTTAATTGTACTAGATACTAGATAGTCATCAAAATATAAAAAAAAACATGTTATTTTAATCTTTTTTTCCACACATCATTCAATCTGTAAATTACTTTTGCTTGTATTTCAATGAAGATACACATGTACATGTATCATTGTACACATTTAGAAATATGACATCATAGTACCTTTCCTTCTCCACTCTCTATATCAATTTCTGGTTTACACTGAAGAATTTCACCTGAATCAGTTTCACTGCAAAATGAAGTTTATAACTAAATGAAATGCTTCAACATTTTATTAGGATATGAATATGAAGCAGACACAACCTATAAACAGATCAAGTTTCTGCAACAGATTTTTCACACCTTAAGTCTCCATGGCATATTTGGGCGTGTTTTCAATTCTTCCAATGACAAGATCAATATAATTAGAATAATTATATATTTTATAGAATAAAGCAACCCCAGGTTTTTCTTTGCATTAATTGGCTCTTGGTTTTTGCTCGAATTCTTTTTAAAATCTTATTGTGGGGTCAGTTCTTAGTTAGACTGCTAGAGTGATCCAAGGCATTCACTTCCACTCATGCTTAAAGTGAACCCTATTTTACCTTATCATCTGTAGCTAATCTGTTTAATTTTGTCATTAAAGTAATAATTGAAAGCTCATACAAACATCTGCTCTGGAGTTGATCTTAACGTCACAGGTTTCTGCACTGTGGAAAGAGGTGTCTGGTCTTTCAGACCCTATAAATAGAGTTCCTATATCACAGTAGGTGCTAGCAGGGCACAAAAAAGATCCCTCACAGCTCAAGGGCCATCAGTGGCTTGTGTAGGTATAAATCTGCAGTACTCCACTGGCTAGTAATTGCATTTCCATATTCTTAGTGAAAAATTCTGAAGAGGGACATAGCTACATTAAACAACAAAGAGTGATATATGGTAAGTGTCTCAATTGGCCCCTTAAAATTAATATCATAATTGTACTTTATATATAGCTTTAATTTGTACAGCTATTTATGTGACCTTTATTGGTAATTTTCATTTTGATCAAAATGCCGTTATTTTAGAAATAAGACATCATAAAAATAACGTTTTCCCGCCATTTTAGCACATTTTGTATAAAACTGCTTATTTTCAAGCAGTTTTTCTTCCAGAAAATATAGAGCGCAGCCTAGAACATGATTAATATTTTTACCAAAGATGTATCTATCCAATACTAATTAGTGACAGAAAAAATACGTATGTTCTACACTGCGCTCTATGTTTCCCATGAGAAAAAACATCAAGAAAAAGGCATATTTTTGGCTTTATTGTTAGATTGCAAAAATAGCATTATTTCTCATGTCATTTACAGCTAGTGAGTGCATATAAATATGAAAAATATATTGGAAATATTTCTAATATAATCTCTTCTACAAAATAAATATCAATTAAACGTATCTACATGTCATTCTAAATTGTTGATTTTTAGGGGGCCAAAATTGGCTCTTATCATATATACTCCTTTAACAAGAGATGTTTGTTAAACATTTATGCCCCCCTACCCCAAATAATTAGAATTTTTCAAAGTCCAAGGAGCATAACTCTGTCAAAAATTACTCGATCATACCCCAAATAGAACTTGGCCTTATATATACTTATAATTAATCTGTATACCAAATTTCATTTCAATATGTGCAATCTCTGCAAAGGAAATGAATGGAAACTGATGGTGGGCTGACCAGACAGGCCGACTGACCAAAGCAGCAAAGCAATTATGCCCTCTTTTTTTTCTTAAAGGGGCAAAAAAACTAATGGGTCTGTGGGATTCTAGTTTTGTGGTCATATTCCTTGTTTACGAATTTATGATAAATCTTGGATGAGTCATTCAAATATACGAGGCCCATTGGCCACATCGCTCAAGCTTGGATAAAAGCAGAAATCAGTTTATTATTGAAAGTTAAAACCCAAAAGTGGTCATAACCAATCCTAAAGGGGAGAGGGTATGATTTGAACAAACTTGAATTTACACTGACTAAGGATGCTTGCATATTTCTTTGACTACCTGTGGCTTTATTGCCCTTACATTTGAACTTACAATGTGGCCACACCCTATCCCCAGGGGTCAAGTTTTTGAACAAACTTGAATCTGCACTATCTGAGAATGTTTCCATATGAATATGACCAATTATGGCTTTGTCATTATTGAAAAGAAGATTTTCAAAGAATTTTTCTACATATTCCTACGTAAAACTTGGATTCCATGTTGTGCCCCCCCCCCCTTCACCCCCATGGTCATGATTTCATCAAACTCGAAACTACACTACCTAAGGATACTTCCATGTAAATATGACTTATCGTGGCTTTGCTATTCTTGAGAAGAAGATTCTTAAAGAATTTCCATATATATTTCTATGTAAAACTTGAATCCGCCATTGAAGCCTCGCCCTACCCCTCGGAGTCATGATTTGAACAAAATTGAATCTACGCTACCTGATGATGCTTCCAAATAAATATGATCATTTACGACTGAGCTATTCTTGAGAAGAAGATTTTTAAAGCATTTCCCTAAATATTTCTATGTAAAACTTTGATTGGCCATTGTGGCCCTGCCCTACCCCCTGAGTCATGATTTGAACAAAATTGAATCTACGCTACCTCAGATGATGCTTCCCAATAAGTTTCATCTTTCCTGGCACATTGGTTCTTAAGAAGATTTTAAAACAATTTTCTGATATATTTCAATGTTAAACTTTGATCGGCCATTGTGGCCCCGCCCTACCCCCAGGGGTCATGATTTGAACAAACTTGAATCTACACTACCTGAGGATGCTTCCCTATAAGTTTCAATTTTCCTGGCACAGTAGTTCTTGAGAACAAGATTTTTAAAGAATTTTCCTATATATTTCTATGTAAAACTTTGATTGGCTATTGCCCCCCCCCCCCCCCCCCCCCCCCCCCCCCGGAGTCATGATCTACACTACCTGATGATGCTCCTTATAAGTTTCATCTTTCAGGCACAGTGGTTCTAGAGAAGAAGATTTTTAAAACATACCATCAAATTTTCACTATTTCTCACCTTGATAAGGGTGTGGCCCTTCATATGAACAAACTTAATCCCCCTTCACCCAATGATACTTTGTGCCAAGTTTGGTTTAAATTGGCCCAGTGGTTCTTGAGAAGAAGTCAAAAATGTGAAAAGTTTACAGACAGACAGACACTAGACAGAAGCCAGAAAAAATGAGATAGAAAAAGCTCATTTGAGCCTTCAGCTCAGGTGAGCTAATAAGTATAGTCATCAGCTTGTGAAGATTCCTGTTTGTTGATATCATGTCCTTTTAGAGAGGAGAGGTAATAGGTCATTACAGCATATAGTCCTTTATTTTTAGTACATGTATAATATGTACATGTAATTGATTTCATAATAATTTAACGTTTATTTAAATAAGTGGGAAAAAACTTTCACAAGTTGCCACATATGATTATTGCTTAAATAATTATATGTGAATTTACAATATTCTTGAGATGTCCAAATTGTGCAAAGCTAATTACCAGTCAATAGTTGAACAGAGAGATAAGCAGACAAAAAACAGATTCAATCTGACAAACTTCAATAGAAAAATTTAACATTTAATTAGTCTTTAGCTTAAGTGTGCAGTAGAAAATAACAAGAAACACTTGAGATATGTACCGGTAACCCTATTGAGTCACCATGGTCCTACTGTTATTTCTTTATAAATTTCTAAAAAAAAGATTTCCTCCTTGTTTTTCATAACAATTTCAGCCAAATATGGTAGGTATAGGTACATGTGGGTACAGTATTAGATCTGGAGTGATTTGCCAACAAGACCTATATATTCTATAAGCTTACAAGTTCAACTCCAAGTGGTTCAGCTCCAATGGTTCTTTCAAGTCTTCCATGTGATCAGTTATTCCCTACAATTATCATGTTATATATTAACATTTATATGGAATATAAAACTTGTCACATATGACAATTTATCACCAAATGAATTGGGCACATACATAAGATTTTTTTCTAATATTAATGTATGTGCAAACCTGCAGAAAGGGCAATTATCATATACTTAGTAATAAATACACCGATTCTGCACGGTGTGTTACGGGTGACGTCACAATACCCCATATCACGGACCGGTCCGAAAATCCATATCACGTATCAGACTGGCGGGCCGAAAATCCATATCAAACCGGAAGTAACGTTTGTATAACATTTAAAAGTCAATTTACTTGATTTTATTTTAATATTCATAATAATAAATCTTTCTTTAATGACATTTATGGTCTTAATTTTTTTCAGTTACCTAAAATAGACTTTATTAGATTTTAGAGAGAAATGTCACAAAGACGCACGGAATATTCATCAATGACCATATGTGAACTTGCATATTAAGTGTTTTAAATATATGGCCCTCGGGCTGATATGGGGCCACTCGGGCTGATAAGACATATGATATGGATTTTAGTATGTAATATTCTCTATTTATAGTACAGTCATGTACTTCAATTTTTTACATTATAGGGAAAATATCTTTAAAAGTATGGCCACAGGAGCCATTTTTTACAAAAAAAATGTAGCTGGATATGCTGCATTTTAAAGATAGGAATCAAATTTTCTCCACAATGGAATTTATAAATCTTCTTTGGAAAACTGCCCAAAGTAAAATAATTAAATGCAATCCATGCTATTTGAGATTTCATAATATTATAACATATATATATTGCAATGTTCTGTGTGATTCTTTTTAAGGGAAATTTCTGAATGAATCATGTAAATAGATAATGTAACATACTGAAAACATTACAATTACAATTACAATAATCATATTATTTGCACTATTCTCTTCATTTAAGTATTACATGCACACATGGAACATAATCATGATAATTATGCTCACTGCATCTGAAAATGAAACTGTAATAATGGTAAAATATCCAGTACCTGTGAATAATTTTATTCAGAAACACAACAAAATTACTTGTCAACATCATCAGAATATGTACAGTGGACCCTCATTCATCCGGACGCTTTGGTTCCCAGTCAATTTGTCCGGATATATGAAGCTTCCGGATATCTGAATCAACATTTCTACAAGACAGAATAACATTTCAAAATTTCGTTCCGATGAAAAATCGTCCGGATACTGAAGCATCCGGATATCTGAGGGTCCACTGTACATGCATGAACTTGAGACTTTTGATCCTAGCTGGTGAGTTAACAATACTACTCTTAATACATGTATGTTTATAATTTTATTTAATTATATTTTCTTGCTATTCCCATTAAAATTTAATCAATTTCTTCTACCTTGAATGGTTTATCTTTGCACTGGTCCTTCTCCTCACTTTTAACTTGTCTAAATCTGACAATAAAGAAAAAAAATCTATCATTCAACAGATCTTAACACAGATTTGAAATTTATATTTTCTTAAATTTTGGGTATATCATTCCTTATATCTTGTGTTGCAATAGCATTTGACACAAAAATATAATTTAACAAGAGGCCCAGGGGCCACATCACTCACCTGAGAAACTGGCTAGGTAGAAGCAAATAAAAGTAGATTTACAGGGAGGTGGGTATTTGAACAAACTTACATCTACACTTCCTAGGAATGCTTTTAAATTCAGCTTTTGGCTCAGGTGATCTAAAGTACTTCTTTATCTCAAAATTATTGAAAAATTACTACAAATTTGATTGACACATCCTTGCAGTTTTACAATTGAAAGTAAATTTCATCCTTATTCCATATCAATATTATTTATCATGCAAATGCTTTTCTCAAAAAGTTTTTTTTATCCTAAAAAATTTTCCATTCCTACGTAAAAATTTGGTCACTTTTTGTGGTCACACCTTACCCCCTGGGAACATGAGTTACATTAATTTTAATCAACAAAATGATATTATACTAAGACTAAGGTATTAATCAAAATATCTCAAAGACAGCTTTTAAAAATAGACAAAATCTTCCATACATGTTATAAAAGAGAGAAGAGTCATTTGCAACTGAAAAAAGACAAAACAAAAGAAAAAAAATTGGAAATGCCCGTAGTTGGATTCAAACCCCTGACAGTGGGACAAAGTTTGGTTCAGTCATATCTTTTCAATATAATATGCAGGCATCAAGGTATTGAACATACGAGGGTTGTCCGTAAAGTTCGTGGACAAGCCAAAAATTTAATAAAAGTTGTGTCATTGATATTTATTATTGGCATATTTCTAATACTTTACTTAATGTGAATTGAATAATGTAAAAATTAATTCAATTTCAAATGTATAATTACAATTATGGCTCCATAATTAGACTTGGAATGGAAACCCGGAGCATCGCAAAATTTTAATTAAAAAAATATTTATCACTTTTTAAATTTCATTTGTATTTTAAAATATTCTTGGGAAATCTAAAAGAATTTTACATTATGGGGTTGACAGAAGTTACCACGTCAAACCTGCAAAATTTGAACGTTCAAAGTCTCAAAATGGCTGAGCAATCAGCGTTAGAACTTATTAAGACAGGATCGGAATCGTTCAAAAAGGAGACGTTTTCGGAATAGGTGGAGCAGTGAAAAGTGATAAAATTCTGCGTTGACACCGGAAAAACACCTACAGAGACCAATACATTCTGTAAACAATCGGGAAAACATAGGAAAATAAGCCATTCACTAGTATTTAAGTGGCATATAATATTTTCGGACGGAATGAACAGTTTACAGGATGACATGCGTGAAGAAAAACCATTATTCCGAGATTGCAGTGCTGTAAAATATGAATTTCGTCAAGTGATCATGCCGTATTTCCGTAAAGGAAATCTTCTTTACACGGGCAGTGGTTGGATGATTTCAGGATGTGATACAGGCATTGTTAAATATTATTTTGAGAACGAAACCTGAACATTTTGTGCATATTTTTATGACTGATCAAAACGACATAAGAAATTGTATTGAGTTAAACGCTTACTATGTTGAGAAAGTTACTAGTGCTCGTATTTAGCTTTTGACGTCGATAACGTCAAGAATTTTCGTTTTAGTGCTCCGGGTATGAGTGTGTGTCTTTTTTGTATCTGATAAAATTATAACTATTTGTGCTTTGTTTTTGTTGAAAACTTGCATATTTATAAAATGAAACACGAATTTAATGAAAATAATAGTTTCAAATATTTTGTCAATGTTTGTCCGTAATTATAAATGTTGTCCACGAACTTTACGGACAACCCTCGTATATTTAGAATACTTATAAGACATTCTATAAACCTTGCAAATCCTAACGAAAAAAAAAATTGAAAAAAATCAAGAGGCCAGTGGGCCATATCACTCACCAGAGAACATGGGCTAGATAAAAAACACAAATCAGCTCACTTTACTTGTTGGAGGATTAGGGGATTTGAATTTTCTATTACTTGAGAATTTCACTATAATTATCAAAAAAGCAAACATGTTTAATTTTGCCATAGGTAAAAGGAAGATTAATGAAGTTTTTTTTCAACATATAACTTGATCTCTCATTGTGACCCCTCGCTTACCCCCCATCCTCTACCCAGGACATTATTTGAATAAATCTAAATCTTCATTACTTGCAAATGCTTAAATGTCAATCTGACTAAACAAAACTATTATGTTCTGGAGAAGAATTTTTTTTTATATAATTATTCTATGCAAAACTGTGACCCTCATTGTGGCCACATCCTAACCCAGGGGGTCATGATTTGTACAAACTTGAATGTACACTACCTAAAGATGCTTCAACACGAGTTTCTTCTTTCCTGCCCCAATGGTTCTGGGGAGGAAAATTTTTAATAGGTTTTTCCTACATAATTCTTTAAAACTTTGATCCCTCATTGTGGCCCAGCCCTACTTGAATCTACACTACCTGAGGATGCTTCCACTTGAGTTTCTTCTTATGTCCATGTCATATTCTATCACTTCATAAAGTTTCATTTTTATATCTTTTAAATTAGCTGTTCTTGACAAAAATGCTGAACAAAATATTTAATGCCATTTAACAAAATGATACAAATTTCCCTAAAAATCACGAACGGAGGTGAATTTTGAAAAAGTGAGGGAAAACCCTCTTGATATTCTTATGGTGTGATCCTCCCAGAAAAAAATTTCACATTAAACCACACACAATTGAAATATAAGATTTAGAGTTCCAAACCTTTGATATGTAAAATGAATGTATGTTCGCTCAAAGCAGATAATCTCAATAAGAAGTTAATTTTAAATTAAATGTTACTATTATTCAGTCTCTAGTAATTTGCTGAATTTCATTTTTATATTTTTTATAATTATGTAAACAAAAACAAGGCACAATTAAGCCTTGTTTACATTATGAAGAACTTTAAGTTTGGTGTCTCATTTGTTAATTAACAAATGATGTTCAAATTTTTGTTGATCATAAGATCATTAGATGCTTTACTTAGCTAGAAAATGTAAACGTTGTTAAGATTGGTTTAATAAATTAAGTTAAAACTGTGTCCATGACCCTTTAATACTGCATAAAATTTATCTTGAGATGATCCCTGAAATCTGGAAGAATTTTCTGATGAAAGTAAATTTAATGTAAACAAAGATGGATCTGAAGTCTAAAGAACTGTCACTGGAATTAGAGGCAATTATACACATGATACATGTAATATTAATTTTATACATTCAAGAAATGTTTGTAAAATACTTATGCTACCTCCCCCAAATAATTGGAATTTTTCTAAGTCCAAGGTGCATAACGCTGTCAAAAATGGTTTGATCATACTTTAAACAGAACTTGACTTGACTTATATAATTCTATGATAATTCTGTATGCCAAATTTCATTTCAGTATGTGCAATCACTGTGAAAAATGAAAGAAAACTTGCTGGATCCACAGACAGACAGCAGCAAAGAAATATTTCCCCCTTCTATGAAGGTAGCATAAAAATTATGAAATCAATTAAAGACTAGATTTCAAGTATGTTAGGACTGCCAGAATTTAAATGCAGATCATTTATCAAAAAAATTTTTAGAAATGGGGTCCGCGTAGCTTGTTAAAGGCCATTAAAGGAATTGGCCATCTGAAAAAAGCATCCTTTCTGTTATGGAGAAGCCAGGTGTCTTTGACGATTTGTGAAATGGAGCAGAGGAAATGCATCAAATATAAATAAAAGAAGTTACAACCAAATTCAATTTTGAATATACATGCATGTATATGCTTCAAATGAAATAAGTATAGGAATGTGCAGTAGATTTTGCATAAAAATCAGACTTATTAGGAGAGTTGTTAGAAAAACTTATGGTGGTGGTAGATAAATGAAAGCGGTTATTACCAAAAAAAAAAAGAGACTTACAAGGTGCCTCCAAAATTGAAGTTAGATTAACTGTAAATCAACATTGGAGAAACATCATCTTCAGTAAAACCATGGTATTTAGTCACACATTGTACTTGCCAAAATAATAGGGTCTATGTATGGTGATCTATAGTCATGAAGTTTAAGACTGCAGCAGTGCAGTGCATGTTTGTAGAAAGAAAACCACCCAATGATCTGGGGTACATGTACCTTTCCCTGCAATAATGTCGCTGATCTCTGTTGAAAAATAAATTGAACATGCAGAAAAGGCAGAAAGCAGACTGGGAGCTACAGATCTGTGTATTGAAAAACATCTATTTGGTATTTTCCTTGCTGCTTTTTGTCGCTCACTTCAGGTTTTGACCATGTATCTTGTAGTCTATGACTAGATAGAATGTTCTATCGTTAAAATGATATTGTCCTACGGACCCGGTTTAACGATAGAATTCGTTCCGTGTATTCGTAATGTAGCAGAAAGAAACACTTGCGATAGTGCATTTACTAGGAACAATCTAGAGAGTTCCGAATGTAAACATTTGAATGGAGAGAAAAACGTTGAGAAAATTAATTGGATTTACGTATTTATATGGATTATTTTTTGGGATAAAAGGCATAAGCAATCTCAAGAAGGTTTGTTTTGATTATTTTGGTAGTTATTCCCAGTGCAAATCATTTTATAATTCAAATTTGTTTCGGAGCGGATCCGCTCCGATTTGCTACGTTGCAAGTATATGGGACGTATTCTAACTGTGGTGAGGGCCTGTACCGAGACACAGTTAGATTATTCTAACTAGTCTATGACTTCTCCCCCAGTATATCTTATAATCAATCATAATATACTTTACTCCTATTATCAAATAAAAATTTATTAACCTTTCAACAGTTCAAAACCATCCTCAAGTTTAAAGTTTTGGAACATAGGTGAAAAGATCCCCATATCTATGTTCGGTGTCAATAATCACAAATGACCTTTTGGAACCATTGAACTGTTGAAAGCTACAAATAAACCTTACTGCTGTACCCACCTTCGTTGACTTGCTACGCCTTGTTGTTTCCTTTGTTTATAATTGAAAGGCATATTTCTTTTCAACGCGGTCTGGGCATAAAAATACTTGATAAACGACATCTTGTCAAGTTGTGTGGTCGAATATCCTCAGCAATATGGCGTCAGCGAAAAGGAAGAGCAAGAACGACAACTAGGCCTATGCAGAAATTGAAGAAAATGGGCTTAGTTTATAGTGTGCGCCTGCAGTTCAAAGTCAAAATATTTAATTATAAATAAGCTTTAAACGTATTAAATATATAATATATTGTATATACACTAAGATTTGAACTTATTGTATATGAATGTGGGTTTTTTAAACAAGTCAATTATTCTACTTTCGCTTTGCCTTCGGAGTTTACACAGGATTGAAAGGTGACATGAAAGGTCGAAAAGATTGAGTTTTTTAACCCCGAAAATTAAGTAGAATGTGCCGAAATGACTAATGAAATACTGCAATTACTGTGTATCAATTAATTGATACGGATACTAATACCTACAAAAAAACCATTTTATATTATTAATCTCTGTATAGCGTATACCACGCCCGATTGTAATTTCGTAATCCGCCGTGTTTTTATGTCTCTTTCTCTCATTTAACGTACAGTGTACATGTATGGGTTATTTTGTCCCATCTTATCTAAAATTCAAATGATACATTATATATCGTCCTAAAAGAAAAAAAATATATAATTAATGATGATTTTGGACATCAGTAAGTATGAACATCAATCAGCATCGTATTATTTGAGTGAAAAAAATTATACAAATTAAGAATTATTATATTTTAAAGTAATAATACAAGGAAAAATTGTTAACATTTATATCTATGGAATTCTATAAACGTTTCTCAATTAAAAATAGGTGGAAAAGTTTTTTTTTTATATACATGTAACAGGGGCGGATCAAGCAATTTTTGAAAGGGGGGGTTCCAGGGTTATGCCCTTCCTCTACCCCCCCCCCCCCCCACCCCCAATACATATTCTCAAGCAAAGATTCACAGACGTGCATGGAAAGATCTAAGGTTGTGGTAAATACTATCTTTGTTTTATGTCCTTTAAAAAAAAGCGTACCCCCATTCCGAACAAAACAAAAAACAAAAAACAAAACAAAAACAAACAAACAAAAAATAAAAAAATTACGGAAGCCTTAAAATTGAATGGATTAGTATCACTTCCGAAGATTATAAAGAATTTTCTTTTAGAATTTGAAAAACCTCCTCGGGGTGGGGTGCGGGTGGCATGGGCTTTAAAACAAAGACTCGAGTTACATGTTAGTTCGGCAAGCGGTATATCTAGTCTTCCCGACTCCCGACGCCCGACTCCCGACGGTCCCGGATTTTGATATTTTCGCGATTTCTCTTTTCAGTGTGCACAGAAACTATTCAAACTCGGGAAGACT